GGCTTTGGCCTTGTATTGCCATCCAACGCCTCACTGCAGGCAATTGTTGAATTGAAATTTACAGGCTTTGAATAGAACCTTCGATGCCGAGCAAACAAAATGGCATTCACAAATACCTAGAAAAGCACTTTGCAAACGGATCCTACATATCATTCTTCTCTGCAGGTAAGAAGGGCATAAATAATAGAATTCGACTATAGTCTGACATTGAAAGGGGAAGGAGATGGTCCTTTCTATGCAACCTCTACAACCCTTCTCACTTCCGAGCTGAAAGAACTACATTTCAAAGAGCTATTAAACCATTTTCAACAAAGCACTTTCGACAATTTACTTTGCGATCGTCACAGGTTAGCATTTCACCGAAAGACAAATTTTCTTTGAGTGTGATTTATATTTATGAATATGATAATTTGAAGAAAAAGTGCGCCATTGGTGAAATGTGTGCGACCATTCTGCTGTCACAAAGGGTGCACGAAGGCTCTAAATTTGTAGCCACGAGGTGTCGCCTCGTCCATGGGATTTGGAACCCAGGCGTCGTGACCTCTCCCACCACAGACCGCATCACTGATTACCACCGAGGTGTGCATGTGTCCCCACAAAATACTCTCTCAACATCTTCAAAAGAAGGCATTTACTCAAAGAAGTGAGAAGTGAAAAATTACTTTCAACTAAACCCACCGTGAGCCCATTTCAGTGCACATCACTCGCGCATTGCGGCTTTTATATTGCAGTAATTAAATCACAAGCGCATTCTTGGCAGCAGAACTTGCGATAAACCAAAGTGGCAACTTGTCCAAATGGGGTGTGTAAATGAATGGATACGTGGGAGTGTGAAGGCACCGTGCCCGTGCATGCAGGCACCAAAAATGCAGAAAGCGTAACAATTCGCAGTGGGTTAGGGCTAGTGGTCGCATCCAAGTAATCGCATTGCCTAGATGTGTGATTGCCTGTTTTGCAGGGTGGAGGGGGGTAGAAATGTTCTAATGTGCCCACTCGATCATCCGACTTTCGCATCTTCGGACTCACGAAAATAGGTTCTGCTTTGCCACAACGGAGCTGGCTAGGGTCTCCAAATTTGTGCGCTTTAGATCGTAGTCCTCCTTTGTGGCATCTTCGTCGCTGTTCATCCACTCCCATGTTGTCTCACACATCGTAAGTATGTCTTTAGTGGTCTTCTCTGATGCTTTTTGCTTCATCTCTCCCTCCTTTATTTTCCGCCTTATGCTAAAGATGCAGTTCTCCAACATCATCTTCGCTTCAAACCTACTCTTCCGCTTTTTATCCACCTGCTCGAAGATGTTTGCATCATTCACCATCTTCTCGATCTCATCTTCCGTCAGACGACCCGTGTCTTTGACGATGGTGATGCTGTTCTGCTTTCCCGCCGACTTGTCCACCGCTGACACGTTGAGAATGCCATTCAGGTCAATGCCGAAGGTCACTTCAATCTGGGCTTCACCACGCGGCGCCGGTGGGATACCTGACAACTGAAACTGGCCCAACAAGTTATTGTCATTCACCATCGCACGCTCACCCTCATACACCCGGACCAACACACTCGGTTGATTGTCTGAGCATGTGGTGAATATCTTAGTTCGCTGTGTCGGAATCTTCGTGTTGCGCTTTATCAACGTCGTCATTACACCACCTGTGGTAGCCACACCCAGTGATAATGGCGTTATCTCCAGCAGCATCATATCCTCCATCGCCTTTGAATTGTAACTAGTCAGGTTGGCAGCCAGCAACGTCGCACCGTGGGCCACTACCTCGTCTGGGTTGATGGACCTTTTCAATTCGCTACCATTGAAGAAGTCCCGCACCATGCTCTGCACCTTTGGAATACGCGTCGATCCACCCACCAGCAATATTTCGTGGATGTCAGCCTTGTCCGTCTTTGCATCCCTCAACGCCGTCTTCACAGCATCTATAGTCTGACTGAAGAGGTCCGAGCACAACTGCTCAAATGGGGCCCGTGTGAGGGTTGTATTGAAATCGATGCCCTCAAACAACGACACTATACCTACATCAGTGTACTCAGCCGAGCTCAGCATCCTCTTTGCCTTCTCACACGCCTCTCTCAGACGGCCCATGGCTTTCACGCTGGTGGTCAAATCTTTACCCTTATGCGCCTGCTTGAACTTCTCCACACAGTGATCCACGAGTCGAGAAGTGATGTCCTCACCACCCAGATGCGTGTCACCACCAACCGCCTTCACATCAAGTTTGCCATTCTCCATGGACAGGATGGACACGTCGAAGGTGCCACCACCCCAATCAAAGACGAGCACATTGCGTTGCCCGTCGCTCCTCCTGTCCATATCGTATGCAATTGCAGCTGCCGTCGGTTCATTGATTAGACGCAGCACCTTTAAACCGGCTATTTTTGCTGCGTCTACGGTGGCCTGTCTTTGGCCCACGTTAAAGTACGCTGGCACAGTGATCACCGCATCTGTCACCTTCTCGCCCAAGAATATCTCTGCCGTCTCTTTCATCTTTGACAACACCATGGCCGAGATCTCCTCCACAAAGAATTGCTTTGTTGCACCACAGTGCCGCACCTCGATTTGTGGCTTCCCTTCCGAATTTATAACTTTGAAGGGCCAGTGTTTCATGTCGCTCTGCACTACCTCGTCATTGAAACGGCGCCCGATCAGACGCTTCACACCGAACACTGTATTGGTAGGGTTCATAACGGCCTGGTTTATTGCGGCTTCACCGATGAGGCGTTCTTTATTGGTGAAGGCAACACAACTCGGCGTTATGCGGTTGCCCTGATCGTTGGCTATGATCTCCACCCTGCCGTTTTGGATAACACCGACACAGGAGAAAGTTGTGCCCAAGTCAATGCCAATAGCAGGACGTGTTGACATGGCCTCGCGTAATGTTCAAGCGCTAACGCGTTGTGTCGAATAATGATGGCAACTACGACTGCTGCAACCCTTTATATCAACTGCAGCTGATCCCGTTGAACCTATTCGCGGTGTGCGCTAAGTGCTTGAATTCGTTTATCCAACCAGGAGCAGCCACTGTTTCATGCTTCTCCTAATTTAGTGGCGGCTGTGTACTTGAAAGCGGTGACGCACAATGTAGGCTCAGGCTCGCATACGCCTGTCAGTAAGCGGTGGTGTAAGCAGTGGTGTCATCTTCGTGTTGATGAGTTGGTGGTAGAAAAGCGGTAATGGGGAAATGCTAATATAGCCACTCGGGACTGGTAATATCATGATGCCTAATAGGCCTAAATGATGCGGTAGGAGCGTATTGCCATAGTGTAGTCACCCTCCTTACGGCCCTTGCAGACTCCAGCATCAATAGTCGAGATGGCATCCGCATCCTGCTGCAAAGTTGCGTTACTCTTTGAGGTTGTCAAGTGTATTTTCTCTCAGGGTAGTGGTTTTATTCGTGGAAGGTACGAAGGAGTGAGTCTTGCTAGCTACAGACAAGAAATGGGGCTTTGGAAAGCACCTGCATGGAATTCAATTGAAATGAGTCGGTACTTCAACTACTAATTGCATTTGGTATTGATTGCGGCACTTTTCCAAAGGCCAAATTGCTAGCTTCGGTGTGTCAAGTAGAAAAGTGGAGAGTAGGAGGAATGCATTTGCTGAGGTAGAGACCTGCAATGTCACTCTGGGTTGGTGTGGTACTCATTGAGAAAGTGATGAGGTGAAACGCGGTGTCGCTGAACAGGACGCTCTTTCTACAGTTATCGGTCACCCGTCCCACTTCATGCTGCTATACCTCTTTCATCCACATTACACAGAATATGTTGTGCCTCACAATGATGCTATTTTGCAATTTGAAACTGGAGGACCATTACCTTTTGCAAAGGCAAATGCTGTAAGGGTCACGTCAAGTAACTTCCT